TATTAGCTAACTCCCAAATAAAAAATCTTAATTTAGCTTCTAATATGATAAGTCATATAGGTTTAGGATAGATCATAGATGACCTCTGCAAGAATTAAACATTAAAATCTTTAGATTTGGGAGTTTTAGATGGTAGTATTAGAAAGAATGCTCTTGGCTTTGAAGGAGCAAAACATATAGCTTAGTTATTGTTGTCAAATAAAAAGATAGAAACATTAAAACTGTAAGATAATGTTATAACTACTGCTGGAGGAGAATTTATTGGTTAAGCATTGAAAACTAATTAGAGCATTAAACATTTAAAGATAGCAGAAAATGATTTGAAAATAGCAGGAATTGAAACTATTTTAATAAATGGATAAAATTTAGAATCTTTAGATTTATCTAAGAATAATATTAGACCAACAATTAAATTTTAGGAGTATTTAATGAATAATAGAACATTAAAGAGATTAAATTTAGAATTTAATGATTTAGGTCCAAAAGGAGTAGAATATTTAGCAAATGGAATAATTTAACAGTAATCTGGATTAATTTCATTAAATCTAAGAGGAAATTAAATTAGAGATGAAGGACTTTAAGTTTTATCAGCTGCTATATATGAAAGTGAATCTTTATAAGAATTAGATATCTCTTTAAATGATATTACACCTGATGGAATAAGATATTTAGCAGATGTGTTACCAAATAGTCAGATTAAAATCCTAAATTTATCAAAGAATTTATTGGGTGATGAATCAATGATTATGTTATGTAATAATAGGATAATGGAGAAATTGGATGTATCATCAAGTAGAGTTGCAGATTAAGGGGTATGTAATGAAAATGAATAAATTAGTTTATGACATTTATAACATTCATAGGAGAATCAACAAATTTCACTCATTTGAAGGCTAATGATAATTATATAAGTGAAAAAGTTGAAAAGCTGATTTTGGAGATTATAGAGAAGAATTAAGCCATAATTGATTTATAAGTAACAGGAAATAGATTATCATTGTGTTGTTTGAATAGAATTCAAAAGATATTGCATAGGAATTAAAAGATATTAGAAGAAAAAGAGCCAAGTAAGATTAGGACTGAAATATACAGATTGAAATATGAATAGAAGAAGATATAAATAGCAAAAGATAAGTTGTCATAATAAGAAAAGGAGATATTATAAATTGAAGATAAGAAATCATAAGTTATAGTGGAAATGGAAAGAATTAAATAGTAAGAATAAAGTAAAAGAGCTGGATTGTAAGAGAGAATTACTGATTTATTAAATTAAATAGAGAAGAAAAAGAAAATAATAGAAGATAAATAAGCGGACTTTGAGAGAGCAAAATAATTAAAATAACAAGAATTAGATACTTAGAAGAATGACTATTAAGTTGTATATTAGAAAAGGAAGGAGTTGGAATAGGAGTATGAGAGATTATAAAAAGAACTAGATACTCAAGAATAAAAATTTAAAGATGAATAATAAAAATTGGAAGATGCAATAGCAGAGAAAAAAGCCAAAGGAGAGGAAATAGAGAAATAGACTGCATAGTTGAGAGAAGAGTTGATGAAGCTTTAGAAATAATAATTTGAATAGAATAATTAAGCTGAGAAGGAGTAATAGATATAGTAATAGCAATAAGTGATAAATGAAAAAGAAGAGAAGGCTGAGAATGAGAAATAACCTGATTAGCAGGATTAAAATGCTGAGAAGTTGAAACCTAAGAAATCCACAAAGAAAGGGAAAAAGAAGAAATGAATACTTATTTATTATATAAATTATGCAAATCTCATAGCTTATTAATATTTAATAAATTGTACTGAGGTATTTATAAGCTTACAGTTGTTACAACATAAAAAAATAAATAAATTAAATTTCACATTTTTTATATTCAATAGAAATACTAATATTTATAATTTGTAAATAAATCATTATATTTAAATATATTCCATAAATGTATGAATTATTAGTCTATATAGAAATAAAAGATAATTATAATAATTTATATTACAAATCAATTGAAAAAGTTTAAAAAGAAATCATAATGAACATACTATTTGTATAATTTTGTTATTTATAATAATCAATCACTAATTGTATTGCAAGCTTCAATTTTTTGTCCTTTATAATTGTTGCAAGCCCATTATACTAGATCTTCCAAAATAAGATTTTCATCTGTCACACTATGTCTCTTATTTGTGGTAATCCAAGGAACATATTAATGTGCTGGTTAAAGACCATCAGTTTCTTCAGCTGCTGCTAAATGTAGTTTGTAACCTTAGTCACCCTTAATGTTTAAATAAATAATACATTAGCACATTCTTTGACAGCAGTTCCTGAAATACCAAAATCAGCTGCACAGAGACTTGCAGCTTCATCAAAACGAGTGTTTGTATAAGGCTTGAATATTCTTCTGTCAATACAGATAGCCCATTAAGCTTATAATATTTCGTTGTTGGTAGGGTATTTGGATGCCAATATGCTCTGGCCACATAATTAAACATAATTTCCATAACATTCCACAGTTCCATGTTGACATGTGAATTACCATTTACCTGTAGCTTAATTATATACTCTTTTAACGTTTCCATATGGTATTACTCTAATGTGAACCATTTATTCAATGTCTGGTGTATCGACTGCCTCAGTCAAAGAATTTAGGAGAAACACCATGCAATCAGGGCATAATGACTCTGTATATATATCAACTGATAATCTGCTTTAACAAAAGGCTATTGTTAAAAGGAGTGCTAATCCTAAAATTTTCATTATTATAATAATGACGCAATCGTGAATTTCATACTTTGATTATTATTTTGTTCGTTAAATAAAATGCAATCAATATTAAGTTAATGTGCTACACTTGATGAAGAATTTGTAATTTTGGTTCCAATCATTGAAACTATGATTGAGGAATTATCAGTGGTAAGTAGAGAATTTGTTAGTTCTAAATTGGAATTTCTTAAAAAATACTCAACTTCTCTTAAATCAAGCCAGATAGATGCTCGAATTCATCGAAACCAACAGATTCGAAACCTCATTGAATATGTAAAAATGCATAGACAATCAAAAACTAAGTCAGTAAGTTAGATATATACAACTTCTAAAAAGAGATAAAAATTTCATACTGACTCTGGATGTTATCCTGTCTAAAAGTGCTATTCAATATCTTGCTCAACTCTATAAACTACAGAATTCAATGTAATTTCACCTCAGTAGAATAACAAATATATTACTACAAAAATACTTAAGCAACTTATTACTAAATAGAAAAAACATTAATAAAAAGCTAGTGAATAAATATTTAGATTAATCAGTAAATGTATGAATTTGATATCTGAAAATCCACATTAATTCCCCCAGTACTCAATCTTGTTAGAAGAGTATAAAGCTATAAAGAAAAATAATTCCTGTTTAGAATAAAAATTGAATTTGGAAGAAAAATCCTAATAAGTTAAAGATAATATCAAGAAATTAATACAAAGTTAAGAATCATTTAAATCTTACTTAAATTCAATCATTTGATTATTTATTATAATAACTCAATATCAGAACTTGAAGGATCAAAATTCTCTGAATTACTATATATTCCTAATTATTAATTCTCCTTATTTTCTCACTCTTATTTTAATTTATTTTTGTCTTTCATATTTATTAAAATCAACTAATATTTATTTTACCAATAATCTAAAAAAAAACATATCAAATACTCATAGTAAATTGAAATTTAATAATTCATCAAAATCTTTCATTAGATGTTAGTTAGTTTATCTATTAATAATCATTTTTATAAATTTCTAATATTTAAAATTAATTTTAATCTGATTATTTAGTTTAAATATTGAATATAAAATAGTAGTATATATTTCGTGATAGAGACTAATTTTGATTATGTAAACAATCTAATTACTTATCAGAATTCAATAAAATTAATTTTAATTTTTTTATTTCTTTTATTTCTTTATAATTTGCAGTTTTTTTGGTTTTTTATACTATAGTAATATTGAACTATTAAAAATACTAATTTATATTACTTAGATCATTTATAAATTTTTGCTATTTAAAGAAGGGTCATAATTATAATTATCGATTAACTGTTATTTAGATGAAGAATTTTTGAATAAAATTACTATATCAATAAATCCATTATTTTATGAATTATTGAAATAATAACAATAAAAATATAGTAAAATAAGAAGTAATTTTAATTAGCAATAGCAAACAATAGAGCTATCAGAACTGAAGAAATACTACTTGATAAATCTATTACTAATGTACTATGAATAGAGAAAAAAACTCATTTCTTCTTTTATTCGATCTTTTTAATATAAAATTCTAGTTCCTTTCCTTCAAGAATATAACCATCGGCTCTACCAGATTGTCCTGGTCTTGATGTAATTCTGACTAGAAGTCTTTGATTTTAGAATTATTCAGCAACTAAATTATCAATAACTCTATCTTTCAATCTGGCTTCTAGTTTCTTTTTTAATGAATTTGATTTCTTAACTTCTTAAGTTGCTGGTTAGTCCTAATTATAATTTAATAATTTTTACCTTCTTTTAAGTCTTTTTAGCTCCCAAATCAATATTGTATTTCTTTAAATAAAATTATTTAAATGGTGTAGCATCAACTTATACAATAGCACCTTTAGTTAATGTTTTTGTTCTGACTAATTCATTATTTGATGGATGATAAACAACTTCTACAATCTTTCCTTTTTTTGCAACACCTTCACTACCCCATGAGAAGTTTCCATCTGATAAACGAAGAGCTCTGAATTTAAAGTTTCCTCCTCTAACTCTCAATCTTCTAACTCTCTTTTCACCAGATACTAATTTAGTCATTGCAGCTTGTCTTCCTTTCTCAAAAGCTCTCTTCTTTTTATGAATTGGCATACGACCACCTGTAAGTCTTCTTTTGTGTCTACTATCTCTTGAAATACCCATGAATAATAAAAAAAGATTTTATTTAATTTCAAATAACCACACATATACGCTTATTTAATATAATTATTATGAAACAGAATATGGCACATACTTATTAAATAATGGATCGAATAGGTTTCATCAAGAATATGATATCCACTCATTAAAAAAAACTCATTACTGAACCCAAAAGAAGTTCATCTTATTTAGAAACATCTTAAACTGAAGTTGTTAGACGAAGTAGAGATTCATTTCATAAATAATAAAGTCATTTAAATGAAACATCTACTTCTGATTATTTTAGTATACAAGAAAACACCAATCTCAGATTGTTAAGAGAAGAGCTCAAAATTACCAAAAGTTTATTAGATAAGCGATCTATTGAATTGAATTAATTAATGTAAGATAATTAAGGAAATAAATCTGATATAATCAAATTGAAAGAGGAGAATGAAGAATTAAAATATCAATTAAAGAAGGTCATAAGAGAAAAAGATGATTATTAGGAAGAATTGGCATTTAAGTTAAAGAAGATAGATTCGTTGAATGAAGAAATTTAAAGATTAGAGAAATCTCAAAATTAAATGATATGTGATTTAAAGGAAGCAAGAGAAGCAATGTAAAATATCAGACAATATGAGAATGAAATCAAACAAAAAGAAAAATAAGTATAAATCTACATTTAATAAATTAGCTGTTAAATGATTGGCAAAAACTTGAAAAAGACAAACTACTTCTTAAAGAAAGATAATCTTAATTACTTATACTTTAAGAATAGTTATAAATCGAAGTTGAAAATATTCAATCTCTAAAAAATAGAATTACTTAGTAAGAGAAAAAAATAGTTAATGTTTAATAAGAGAAATAAAATTAATTAAAAGAAAAAGAGTAATAATTATAGATGAAAGAGAAAATCATCTCATTTAAAGAACTAAAAGTAGAAAAAGAAGAGAAGTTAAAAGATGAAGTTGACCAAAAATTATTAATTTTAGAAATGAATGAAGATTTATGGAAAAAAAGAGTTTAAGCAGAATTTACTAAAATTAAAGAAGTCCAATAAAAACTCAAAATAATTAAATGACAATTCCATTAACTAAAAATTTTGAAAATTTTTAACTTCAAATTGTATTTATTATCATTCTTCCCATTTAATAAAGCTTGCTTATATTTGGTATTCCCTTTAAAAAAATTATAAATTTTATATAGATTTATCATTTTTTTCTAATTAACCAAAAATTCCCTTGAAAATTATTTTCAGGAAAAAGTAGTTTAAATATATGTTCCCCAAGCACCTAAAAATATTAATTAAATGAAATACATTCCATTAACATAACACTTTTAAACAGTTGCTATGCTCTATGAAAAATGTGCTGATCTTTCTTCTTAAATTGATTCACTTCAATCTCAAATTTAAAATAATAATGGATAAATCGAAAATGAAGAAGTTGAAAAACAACCTTAAATTATGTAAGAACCAACTTCAAAAGTTCCAGAAAAGTAGTATCCCCAACCATAAATTGATAAAGATTCATAATAAAATGCTTAAATAGAAGAGGAAAAATAAAATTAAGATAAAAGTATATTGAAAATTAGTAAATCAATTGAAAAATCAATTAAGATGAAAGTCTCCTTAACTTGTGATCATTGTAATAAAATTTTCTAAACTGAAAGACAGTATAAAAAACATAGATATGGTATTAAATATAGAGGTTCTAAGGATAAATCAAAGAAAAATTCTTAAATAGATCAACAATCAAATAATTAAAGTGAATTAAAGGAGATAATGGAAGAAATTTACAAAAAGGAATCACCAAATTAAAACTCATTTGAAACATTTCAAATACTTCTTTGAATTGAAAAAAAAATATAAATAATCAAAATATTATATAATAATTATGATTTTTTTGGAAAAAAGGAAAAAAAAAGTCCTTTTATGTCTCTTTTTAGTCTCTTTTGGATTTTCAAAGAATTTTTTAATATATATTTAATAAAATGTCTGAAATTTAATAACAAATGCCACATAGTTCTAAATTAGATTAAGAATCAGCCACTAATGCTAAAAATCATTTGTTATTAGTTAATGTAATAAATCTTGTGTAAGTAAAAGAATGTTACAGAGTTATCTAATGAATTACTATAAAGCTACAAGCATGAGATTGATCAATTAAAATAGGAGTTACATTTGATGAAGCAAAGGATAACAAATAACAATGAAGAAATTAAGAATACCACTTAACCAACTCTAGATGCAATGCTAAGAGATTTGAGATAAGTAATAATTAATTAATCTAGGCAATTAATACATAAAAAGATGAGAATTCTAAATTGTAAAGTTAAATCACAGAATTGAAAAAAGAAAAGAGTCAAATCTAGTAGTTGATAATAGCAGCAACATAAAAGGTAGCAGAACTTGAACATTAAGTAGGAAATTATACATCTGCATGATATTTATTATTAAATATAAGTTATTATCTTAGAAATATATATATATATAGGAATATCATTATGAAAAGAGATTCAATATATAAAATAATACATGAAACTAATCAAATTTTTAATAATTTTTATTTTAATAACCATAATAGAATGTCTGATTCTGACATCAAGTTAAAAATAAAGGAGGTTATAGAAGCTACAATTTTATCAATAGTTCAAGAATAGTCTGAGAAAATAGAAAAGTTAGAAAAACTTGTTGAATAACAATAAGAAAGAATTCAATTATTAGAATCCAAGCTTTTTGGATCAGAATAACAAAAGACAATTAGAAAAGATAATAAACATCATACTACTAATCCAATTTAGCATACATCGTAATAGAATTAAATTTAGGCATAGAAACCAGATGCTACAATAATTAAAAGCTAATTGAAAAAATTAGAATAAGAAAGAGAAAAAACTTAAGATCACAAATAACTCTCCCAATCTAAACCAAAATTTTAACAATAGAATAGTTAATAAAATATTACATAATCTGCAAATCATAGAAATAATTAAATTAAACATTAAGAAGCCATTAAAGCATTACCTGATCCAAAAAAGTTAAAAACTCAAATTCTAGAATCTTAAAAATAATTCAGCAATACATAACCAATTAAATTAAACAACTAACCTAAATCTCATTCTTCATCTACAAAAGAACTTATAGGTTTAAAAAAAAGTCCATCATAATCTTTAACTATAGTTAGTGACTAATAAATTAAAACTGCTTCTAGTCCTAAAAATTGTTAAAAGTCTTTATTTCATGGATTAAAATAAGAAGCTATTTCACCATAAAATTCATTAAATAATGCTGAAGATAACCAATCTGAAAATTAGTAATCAATATAAGCTTCTCCTATCAAAGATTAACAATAAGTATCACTTTAACATCTAGATGAAAGTGATGCATATTCTTAAAATTTGGAGTCTTAAACTTAAAGAATTGATTCTCAATAATTAGAAAATAATCAAGAAATTTAAGAATAAGATGAAGATATTATCATATTACCTATAGAATTCAAAACAATGACTATTGATTCATTTGAAATTATAGAGATGAATTTTGTAAGTGATCTCCTTTAACAAGAAGAAATACCTGAATCTGTTAAATAAGTTATATACGTTTTTCTAGTTATAATTGAGGATTTCAATACATATTAAATTGAAGATTAAAAATTTTGGGATAAAGCATCTAAGTTCTTGTAAGATAATGAAAAATAATTTCGTAAGTTTTTTTATTTATTTAGCTTTATTCCTGTAAACTGTCAAAGAAAAATAATTTAAGAAATCACATCTAAATTCAATTTCATAATTAATTAACAAAAACCCTGATGTCATTGATCCTGATAAATTTGAGGATATAGATGCATTAACATGCACCTTAGCCTATTTTATAAAAGACTTTCATATTGCTCTTAAAAAGCTTTAAGTATGATTCTAAGATTATTGTTAAATATAAATAATTTTAATCTTGTTTTTTGTTATCAAAAAATTGATTATATTTTATAGAATTTAAATAGATCATATCATAATCAAAATTGAATAAAAATATCATCTTTATCTCAATAATATATTGATCGTTGTATTCCTTTTGTTGTGGATTACATGTAATTTTTTATCTTTGCTTTAGATTTGTCTTATTCTTTCCCTTACCATTAAACAATCATAGGGTATTGACCAGGTCCAGGTAACAACATCTATTTTGATTTACTCTTTTTTGGATCTTTGAATCTAGTGTCAGTTCCAAAAGTCTATATAAAATTATAAAAATTACATGTTTATCAACTCTTTCCTTTTTTTTAGAATTTACTTATAATTTATTAAATGTTGTAAATGAAAGGGGTTCTGGATTATAAGAACCTACATCAGGTAAAGCTGATTTTCCTCTTTTTTTTGCTTAATCTTTATGTTTAGTAATAAAATCAGAAGGTTTAGTTTCATTTTTCTTCAATTTTTTTGATATAGGCTTGAATATACTTAGAATATTACTCTAGGATTATAATTTCCAGGACCTGGATTGATTACTGCTAAGTGTTATATTTCATTTAAATAGGTGGGTCTTTCAGATGCTCTAATAATAATTATTAAAATAAAATACTCAATTTTTTTCTTTTTTTATTCTTCAACTTATTTCAATACTTCATCCAATGGTTTTTCAATGTTATATTTTCCAGAACCTGGAACACCTCTTAATTTTGCTTCTTTAAATATTTAATCAATAAATGTTGTTCTAAGATAATTCTCCATTAAAACTACCTTTTTGGAGGAGCTGACCTTGAACGAGTTGTTTAAGCCTCTATCACCCAAGGCTTAACGATATCGTATTTATTTGGAGCTGGTAATTTTTCATAAATCTTCTTTTAATCTTCCAAATAATGTCCTCTTCTTGTTACATATCCTAAATTTTTTTGACCTTAAATATGAATTTGCAATTTTTACCTTTCTTTTAAGCTGAAAACTTTCTCTCTTCCATTTGTTTGAGTGGATCAGCATATTTTTTAGGAACTTCATATCCTTCAATTCCAAAAGCAGATGTTTATTTTGTAGCTATTTTGAACATATCCTCCATTGAAAATTCTGATCGACTAGTTATATATTTTACCTAAATTTGGTGCAGCTGATTAAACTCTTCTCATATTGATCTATTTATAATACAAATAATAATATATATATTGATATTTTATCATAAAAATAAAGAAATTGAAGATTCAATCCAAAAGAAGAATACTATAATATTGAAATAATATTTATATTTTCAAATAGATTCAAATATTTTAAGCAATCTTATTCAATAGCAATTATATTTCATTTAATAATTTATGATATCTAAATAAAATTATATAAAAATATATTATAAATTGTGAATTTAATTTAAGTATAAATGAATTGAGGTTAATATTTATTAATTTTATGTTGATTAATATCTTAAAAAATCATTCAAAACTATTCTCAAATTTAAAACACAATAAATAATTCAACTGACTTAAAATTGATTAAATAATATTCTAATTAGCTAATAGAAGAGAAACAAAATAATTTATTTAATTGTTTTTGTTTATTATATATTACATCTTGCAAATTTTAATACTTAAATTCAAATCACTTTTTGAATTTTATAATAGGTCAATTCAATCAACATAAGATTAAAAAATATTAATAAGATTAGGATTACTGTTATTATCTATTTTTAAAATAAAAGCTATGAATGAAATATTTGATATATTTACAATCTATAACTGTAAGCTTAAGAAAAATACAATGCAATTAATAAATTTCAAAAATAACTTTCTTTATTTATTTAATGAACAACCTGAATAATATATTATATCAATAAAAATTTTAATATAAAAACATTTTATTAAAAATTTATTTAGATATTTTGTATTTCATTTATTTAATTAATAGCCAATCTCATTACCTTATATACTATATTATTATTACAAACTTTCTTTATTCAATTATAATGTTTCCCAAAGGGTTTACTTAGATAATTTTTCGCTCAATATTTTTTCATTTATTAATCTTTGTAATCAGTTGAATACATACTAGATAATATTCTAATATATATAATTTGAACATATAATGATTTTACTTTACTGAATAATATTTGAGATAACTATGATCTGCTTTTATTTATTTAATAATATATTGAGAATTTCATAGCCAAAATATATGAATACAAAAACTTTGATATTCTAAAGGAGTACAATTAATTCAGAACAATGGAAATTATTACAAAGAGATGTATATAATTATATAAAAGTTTTTAGCCTTAGTTGTTTAAACTTGCATAACAATTAAACAGAAATCGAACTTAATCAAATATTACAACATCAAAACAGATGAAAATAGGCAATCAATCTATATCAAGAATAAAATTAGACTCTATAAAAATTGATTCTAACGATGATACCTTATAACAGAATGAAGAAAAATCAAAATAAAAAATGATTATTGCAAGTAGATCAGGTTAATTTATAAGAAAACTTAACCTGAATAATTAAGTGTATATAAAGAAAGTTTATCAAGGAAATTATTTTTTTGATAAAATAAAAGAAATTCTAACAAGTGGACTTAAAGATAATTGTCCCTTAAAAAAAATGAGTAGAGATGCTCTCAATTAAATACACATGATAATGACTTATTAAGAATCAATCCCTGAAGTTTCTCTATTATATTAAGGGAAATCATAAAAATAGATTAAAATAGTCTTTGATCTAGATGAAACTCTAGTTCATACAGAGGAAGTACAAAAAGATAAAGTTTATGATTTTTAAAATAATGAATTTGGATTGTTTATTAGACCCTATTGTCGTCATGTATTAAAAGAGTTAAGTTAACTTGCAGATTTATTTGTATTTACATCTGCTAATTAAAAATATGCTAAGACAGTAAAATATTATTTATTAATATTTAGATAATAAATCTCATTGATCCAGAAAATACTTACTTTAAGGGTCATTTTTACAGAAATCATTGTATTTCTTTATAAAGTAGAATGTAACTAAAACATTTAGGAATTCTATCAAATAACTATTCTAAAACTGTTATAATTGATAATAGTCCAATTTTTTATATGTATTATATTGATATTAAATGATTTAGGGGTTAGCCATATAATGGTATACCAATAGCTCCTTTTATTGATGATGCTCAAGATAATGAATTAATGAAGTTGCTAAATTTTTTGATAGAAAAAATTATATAATCAGATGATGTTAGAGTTACAATTAAAAGATACTTTCAATATGATATGTTTAGGTAGTTTTCTGATGGAGTCACTGCATTCAACATATTATATAATTGAAGATAAGTTTTAAATTTCATGATACGTTAATTCTCTATCATATTTTTTAAGTTAAAATTCAATTAGACTTTATTTAAGTGTTTATATTTATTTATTTGAATTAGAGATATTTTATAAGATATGATAATAGTTATCTCTTTATATTTATAATCCAAATATTACTTATTTGTTTAATTATTATTTACAATTATTCAATTTAATAAGAGAAATTGTTCCTCTTATTTAAGAGAAATATTAGAGTTGGAGTATAATATTTTTTATTTAATGGTTCATAGAATACATTATTAAATAATATTTATTAACAGCTTTTTAAATTTTGTTTTAATAGAATGCATTACAATAATCACAACAGCAAGACCTCTGACACAGAAAGTGAGGTATAAAAATGGAAAGAACGAGCTTTGAAATTAGAAAGTGGATTCAAAGTAAAAATGTATAAATAAATAGGAATTATAATAAATGATGGAAGAAACAGATGATATGAGAAATACTTTAGAGAAAAAAATAATGGAAAACTAATAGTTATCAATTGAGAATAGTAGATTGAAAGATAGATTGTTTAATATTGATATTCCTGAAAAAGTGTTTTCTAACAAATTATTTGATGATCATGACATAAAAGAAAAAGAATTAATAATATAGAAATTAGAATAGGAAATAATCGATAAGGATAATCAAATTCTCAAATATAAAAGAGAAATTGAATCGATTAATGTATCTGAAATTTGAATATTTAGAGAAGATCTAAGTTAAAAGAAGAGGAATTACATAGATAATATTAGGCTAAGTTAGAAGATTTATAAATACTATATAAAAATGATGCAAGCGATAATTAATAAGAGAAATTTTAATTGACAAAGAAAATGGCTGATATGGAATAGGTATTTTCATTTATCATTTTATTTAGATTTTAACTTACAGAACAGAAGAAAATTAATTATTGATTAATGAATTAAATTTAAAGAATGAATAAATAGTTGAATTGAATAATCATAATAAATTACTTGTAGAACTAAAAAATAAAGAATTTAAAGATACATCAATATAATATTAAATATCAACTTAATAATAAATAAAATAAATGGAAGAAGCTATTGCTTAATATAAAAGAAGTTAAGAGTCAAATTTAAGTGAAATTGAGCAATTATTATAATTTAAACAATAAATGACACTTAAAATAAATGATGTATGATTTTTATATATATTCTTTTTAGCTTTCATCAACTAATTAACATTTAATAATTGAGAATGAGAGTTTGAAATCGACTCTTTTATTATTTTAGAAACAAAAGGACTAAGATGATTATATGTATGAAGATTAAAAAAAAAAAGAATCATTACATATAAAGAGATATTATGAAACATTATTAGAATAAGTAGAAAAGGAAAATAGAAGTTTGAGATTACTATTAGAATAAAAAAGTAGAGAATTAGATGATATGTGGAATTAAAATAAAAGATTTTGATTCATTTTTCAATTATGAAATAGAAATCAAAATTTAATTATATTTAGTTTAGTTCAGTTTTAAATAGTTTTTCATGATTTTCAAACTAATTTTTTATAAATTATGATTTAATATTAACTCAAAGTTTTGTTTCATTTCTAATTGATCTAATTATTTATAAATGATGTAGAGTTCCTAAAGAATTATGATTAATTTTCTTGTGTTTTATATTAATATTGAAAAGTTAGTTAATCTTTATCTTTTAGTCATAAGATATTTTTTCAGTGAAATCCATATTAATATTTCTAAAATCTTCTCATTTATTCATAAAAATTTGATAAAAAAATAAAAAATGTTAAATTATAAATATTAAACATTCTCTAACATAACTTGTATGAATCATTAAATGGATAATGAAAATAAATAAATTGATGGACTATATATGCTTGTTAAACAATTAAAGTATCTATTTAGCTTTTTTTATGAGAAAAAAAAATAAATTGAAATAAAATTATAGATTATTATTAAATAATTATTAGCAATTTTGAATATTTCATTCTTCATCTCTTTATATGTTTCTATTACTCATTCCCATAACATCATTGTATTATGATTATTATTTATAAGGTTAGAAAGTGGATAACTTGTTGTCTTACGTAAGTTATTAAAGTTTTTAATTTACTGTCAATATTTATTCCTCACTTGGATTTATTCTATTAATTATAGATGTTAATTTATTACTTCTTATTAGAGTTCAATGATTATATTTATGGTGGTTAAAGTTAAACTGCATTCTATAAAGGTTACCTTTTAACAGTATTTTTATTCTAAATAGTACCTAAAGCAGGTAAATTAGTGCCATTTCTTTTAATCATTGAATTTTATTTAGGTTACATGCCTAATTTATTATTAATTCCATTCTATTATATATTTTTATAATTTACTTATATAGTTTGAGGTCCTTTTGATGTACTTCTTTATTATTTTTCTTTTTCATCTTTTTAATTTTTCGAACCATTATCAATAGGTTTTGTTTGAGTTTCTTAATATATTTATGCTAATCTAATGGCTGTAGATTTTGCAATTTTCTTTAATTGTTATTATCTATTATTAAAGGAACCTAAATATGTAGTAAAAGTGCTATTAATTGGTAATTTAATAGGAGTTCCTCTACAGACTAAATCAAAGCCTCCAATTTATTCTTCATTTCCAGTCAACACTTTTTCCAAATCAATAATAGTAAATACATCATCTAAGAGTCCACATTTCAATTCAAAATCAATAGGTGTATTAGATGTCATTGATGGACTATATTTTATATCATATATATATGTACCTGGCATTGACTTCTAAAAGCCATGGTTTTAATGTTGCATCAAGTAAAATATCAAATCCATACAATTCAAAACAATGTTTATCATTAATTATAATTTTTTATACAGCTTATAATGACCTAATCATTAACATCTATATATTATAAAAAGTTTCTGCAACTTTTTCTTATCCAAATTTAGTCATCAAAAATAATTTGAGAGTTTATATGTTCCATTTACCTCCTAGTTTTTCATCATAATTATCAGATGTTTTTTAAATTGCTACATTAGTTAAATGAACATCTATTATAATAAAATGATCTTTACATGTATTAGAGATGTCCTCATTATCATAACGATGATGAGTAAATCTTGCAAAACCAGTTCTATATAAATATAAAGTTAAAGGCTAGTAAGATGTACATAATAAATATATTCTCATATCAAATTTTTTACCTCCTATTAAGAGAGGATCTGCTATATATTTTTAAACTATATAAGCTTCTGCTTATTAGGCTTCTTAATTAAAACGAAGTGTGTTTTTCCATTAAGATATGGATTGTAATTTATTAAAAATAAATATTCCTTTACCTTAAGATTTACCAATCTAATTATAATTTTTTAAAATACAGGTTTCATAATCCAAGGAGTTTTCGATTCACCATTTTAAGATTATCTTTTGAACTCTTCACAAAATATTGGATACTCACTAGGAAGATGAAATGTTTAAGGAAAGAAATTATAACTGAAGATGTAAATAAATTAGATTACTTATTAGCTTCCTCATTTTTACCTTCTCTTTCTAAATTTTTCTTATATCTTTTTAAATTCTTAATCATCAAATCTTTTCTAGTTAACTTTTTATAGAGTTGTTAAAAATACTTCGTAATGATTTCTAAAATGATTTATTTTTTGATTAGGCTACAAATGTGTATGATCCATAACCTCATGAATCCATTCTTTTTCAGCCCACATTATATCCCAATCATCTCCTTCAACTTCCTTCCATTACCTTCTTTTTAATGCCTTACTTTATATTTTATTATGCTTACCTCTAAAATGCAGTTTCTAAATGAAGTCTTAAATTTTAAATTAGAACTAAAAGCATATATCTTTATAATTACTAATGATTTGGATAATGTTCTTTTTTTATATACTTTCTAAAATATTCAGACATAGTCGTATAATTGTTTATTATAAAAATAATGATTTTTAAATAACATTTTTTATTAAAATAAGTCTCACATGTCTAATATTTTAATTTTTTAATAGATATATGATAAAGATAGTGAAATTTATGAAATAAAAGTAAATAAAATTATGAATTAAAAGAATAAATTTTTTATACATTTTTTATTTAATTGTTTATAATATTTACTATTGCTTTGACACTTTATAATCAAACAAATAATTAAATATTTAGTAGCATAATTTTGACATTTAAATTAAACTAAAATAAATTTTATTTACTTTATTAATTATAAAAAGATGTACTCATATGCTCCATTAGGTGTCTCTTATGCTTCTCCCTTAGCAACATCAATAGCAAGACCTTTACCAGGTTAGAAATGATTCCAATAACATTTAGTTGGATATGCAGCCCCTGTGTCTTATGCTGCTCCAGTTTCCTATGCTGCTCCAGTTACCTATGCACCTCCAGTTTCTTATGCTGCTCCAGTTTCTTATGCAGCACCTTAATACTCATCAATCAGAGGAGAATCTAGAGTTGAATATGTGCCATATCAAAAACCAGTGGTAGAATTAGAAGAAGAAGTCAGAACTGTTTAAGTATTAAGATGACTTAAAAAATTAGGTTCCAAGATAAAAGTGGGTTACAGATTATTACCCTGTAGAATATCAAAAGGAATACGTTCCATAAGTATCTTATGAGAAATAAATCGATTATGTTCCTGTTGAAAAAAATGTCCCAAGAGTAGATTATTTAGAATATGAAAGAGAAGTATATTAATTTTTTAAATTTTATTTTAGGTTAGAAGAGCTCCTCCTGCTCCAGTCTCTTATGCATCACCTCTTTCTTACAGCTATGTAGCACCAGTTGCTCCAGTGAGAACAAGTGTTGTTGCACCAACATATGGTTATGGTTATGCTCCATCTTACAGTTATGCAGCACCAACTTTTGGGTATGGATCAGTTTACAGATATTGATTTTACAATCACATATTCAATTAATGCAAATAAAAAAAAATAAAAAATAACAATAAAAAAAGTAATAATTTAATGTCATTATTTATGACGATTTTTGACTATATCAGTCAATCTCTAATTTTCTTTTGTCAATAAATTAAGTTTTTCTTCTAGATTATTCATTTTCTATTAATCGATATCTATTACTTTTAATAAATATTAATTTTCACATTCTAATTCTTAAATAGTTTCTTTATATTTTTCTCTATAATATAATAAATATTATTACATATTTTAAGATGATGATTTATTTTACTCTTGAAGTTAAATAATATTATTATTTTAATCCAATTATTATTTCATATCATTGTTTTCTCTTTACAATAACTAAATTTCATCATTCTATTTTTTTATTTTTTTTTATAATTCCAAACATTAAGATTCATCTCTACAATATTATTTTTTTATTACTATGCCTATTTTAATTTGCTTTCTAAAATCTAACATCTACTTTTGTACTTTTCCAATTATATTTTCAATTATTAATCTTGAAACTGATATTTGTCATTTTCTTCACTTAATTTTTAATTATCTTATAATATAAATTGTACTTTCTCTTCTAAATTATTAACTACTTATTTAGATATAATTAATTGATCATTTATTTATTTTAGCTCTGTATTATTTGTCAATTAATTTATATTCACTTTCTATACATCTTCTATTTTCCTTATTATTTAATTTTTAGATTAATATTATTCTTATAATTATTAATGTTATTGTATTTATTAATCTAATACATGAGCTAATTTGTTATTTTCAGAAATGTGATTGGTATTTTGAGTTTCAAGTTATTTAATTCTTTATTTTAAAAATGAAGTTTCATCCACTCTAAAAGAAAATTGTTTACCAGATATTTAATTTTCTTTATTGTTATTTTAACATGATTCACTCACATAAAGCTATTTATAAATTAATGTTTGATTGGTTTGATTTTTGGTTTAATTTGTTTATAAATCAAAAGATTGATCCAATTATTATTTGAGTGGAGATGATCGAATAGCCAATGAATTAGATCTTATATAGTTAACTTCTGTAGCTTTTTAAAATACAATAGGTCTAATTCGATCATATTAATTCATTTTTAATAATTTTTTAACGTTCTTATTAGTGCTATTTCAAACTATAATAGTTTATTAAATTTATTGATATTGTTATCATATTATAAAAATACATCAATATTATTGCTATTAATTTAACTTTTAAGAATATAATAGAATTGATTCATTATTAGTATATTATATGATACTAATGGATCAATATACATTACAATAATTTAATAAAATATTAGATTTGTAAGTATTTAAATTTAGTTTCAATAAGTTTATTCATTTTAAGCTTAATTATTCTAGAAAGATAAAACAATGAAATATTATAAAAAATTCATTAATTAGTGTAATAATAAAAATGAATGCAGATTCATTTCTAACTACAAAATGTACTAGTTTCAGTTTCACTTAATAAAAATTGAGATCTCGTTCAATATAATATAAATAATTAGATAATAGTCAAATAAATCCAAGTTAAAAAGAACTTTTAGAGAAATAAAAAGAATAACGTAGAAGTATCCATATAACATCACAATTGTAACAGAATGTTAATATTAATTAATTGTTTACAAAACCAATAATAGAATAATTAATGTAGAGATAATCAGAACTTTATATGAATTGTAATATAATATAATTTACTTTAGAATTCAAAATATAATTAAGTTATATTGTAGATAATGGGAATTTATAATAATTTGGAGCCATTATTTGTATGACAGCTGATATACTTCTTAAAATTAAAGATTATAATAATGCTTGCTACTATTATAATTAATACGTAATGAACTTTTATAATTTGAGAGAATTTTTAATACAATCACTAAGAATCATGCTGAAAAAACAAAAGCATTGATTGGTTTGGCTAATTGTGCTTTGGAAGTAAAATTGAATAGTGAATCTTTAATATTATTAAAAAAAGCATTGTAATATGCATGGTTGAGTAAAGAATATGAATTACAAATATATGAAAAATTTGCATTAAATTATTATTACTTAGGATAAAGTGATGAATAATATTATTTTCATGAAAGAGGATTGTTAGGAATATTAGAATCTGATGATTCTCCTATAAAATAATTTAGTTGTGAATCCTTAAAAGATTATATTAAAAAATGTAATTTAGATATTAAGAGTATTTGTCCATAATTATTACATTATATGAATTTACCTATTTTAAGTAGAAATGAGTTGATAAGTACTAATCCAAATACAATAAGAGGAGTCTAAGTTAAAAAATAAGTTATTTACACAGTTACAGAATAAATAGAAATATTATTATAAAAGAATGATGAATTCTAACACTAAATTAATACTCCTAAACATTAGAAATTAATCAAAAATGGAAATAATATAAAAGGAGATTAATTTAGAGTTTTAAATACTTTTTAGTAAACAAAATCTAAAGAAAGAAGAAATTATGATTTAACTGATACAACTATTTATAAATTGCCTTATGAAGTTTAAGTGAGTAATCGTATTAAACATCCATATATTCCTGAAGATATTAATGCAAAATTACATGAACAATTAAGGAATACTAATAGAACTCAAAAATTCGGATTAAGAAACAAAGTCATACTTAATCATTAGAATAGAGAAGACATGCATTATAGGAAGAATGGAATCTGTATGTACAGATAATTATATTCTATATTTTAATATTATTCATATTTATTTAATTGAAAATATTTTGTATTATGGGTATTTGTTTTCAAAAAGAAGATTCCACTTAAGTTTATGATTCAAAAACTGATAATAATAATAATAATATACTTCCATAAGATGCAAAACAAATCAAACTAAATGATCAATTGAACATGGTATGTTTAGAAGATTTTATATTTACAAAGGTTAATTAATGTTTTATCTAAAAAGGTTGTAGGTAGAGGATCGTTTGGAAAAGTCATGTTGGTATAACATAAAATGACAAAAAATTATTATGCAATGAAAATATTAAGAAAGGATATTATATAATAAAAAGGATAATAAGTACATACAATGAATGAAAGATAAATTTTAGAAGTTGCTTAACATCCCTTTATTGTCTAATTGCATTTTGCATTCTAAACTCCTGAAAAATTATATTTAGTTACTGATTTTCTTGCTGGAGGTAATATAAATATTTCATGATAGGTGAATTATTCTACCATTTAAGAAAATCCAAAAAGTTTTCAGAAGAAAGAATGAAATTATATGCTGCTGAATTAATATTGGCATTAGATTATCTTCATTAAAAAGGAATTATTTATAGAGATTTAAAACCAGAAAATATTTTAATAGGAATTGATGGTCATCTAAAATTGACAGATTTTGGTTTATCTAGAATCAATTTAAAAGAAGGAGAAAGAACTTATACATTCTGTGGTACTCCTGAATATTTAGCCCCTGAGATTTTACTAGGTTAAGGACATGATTAATCAGCAGATTGGTGGAGTCTTGGTGCACTTATGTATGAAATGATAGCTGGAGCTCCTCCATTCTATTCAAATGATAAGGGTATGATGTTCAGAAATAGACTTGAGAAAAAAATAGAGATGAAACCATGGTTCTCTCAAGAGGTCTCTAGTTTGTTAACAGGATTATTGATAAATGAACCTACCAAAAGAATTACTATTGATTAAATCAAAGCTCATTCATTCTTTAGCTCTTTTACTTGGGAAGATGTATATAATAAAAGAATCAAACCATAATTTATACCTAAACTTAAAGATGAATTAGATTTATAAAATATTGATCCTATTTTTACAGAAGAAGAGATAACTGATACTCCTATAGATACATTAAAAGTAGGTACATTTGAAAAATTTACATATGCAAATTCATAAATATTCAAATAATGATTATTGTTTTATAAATTTAAATTTATATAATCTTTAAATTGATTCTAGAATCTTCTTATTTATAAAGAATAATCATATTTTTGTTTATAGATTTTAATTATTTCTCTAAAATCAGATACAAAAGTTAATAATAAAGTTTTAATGCTATATATCAATAATTTAATTCATATTTATTAACAATGCGATATCATATATTAATTATATTAGTTGAATATATATATATATTAATACAATTTATATATATCTATGATATAAATATTGAAAATGATTTTAAAAAAAGTTATTTTTTTTTTGAATCTCAATTATACTTAAATGATTTCATGGAATTAGTTTGTTTAAAAGTTGTTTTAATTTAAATTATCAAAATTATATAGCTTCCAATATTAAACAAATTACAAATTATATAAATTAATAATTATGGGACTTTGTTCATCCATGCATCATGGAACTGATTTATCATAATCTCTAAGATTAAAAGCCATACAAATATTCTAAAAAATTGATAAAGAAAATAAAGGAGTAATTGACAAGAAAACCACTCAATAATTTTGGTATTTATTCTTTCTATTAATTTCTTTTAGGTAATCTAACTTTGCTAAGATTAATACTGAAGCTCTATTTAAAGCAGTAGATTTTGATAATTCAGGTGATATTACAATTTAAGAGTGGCTGACATTTTGGAAAATTGTGAAGAAAACTGGCTATACTGAATAAGAAATTAATGAAGAAGTATAGCATACATTTTAAATTTAGCTTGATGAATTAATGCAAGGAAAAGCTTGGGTTTAATTTAGAGTTGTTGATTAATTTATTTAAGTTGATAAAAATAGAAGAAGATCTCAAATTCCTCAAATTGTAATGGAAGAATAAATGATGACTCTTAGAAAAACTAAAACAGCTGAAATGAAATGATAATATATTTGTATTCATATTTGTACTAATATGCATCTCTAATATCATAATTTTATTATTATTAAATAAAATAATTTATAAATTACTAAAGATGACGAAATTTATTGTAGTTTAAAATAATATTCTTATCATTTAATATCTTTAAACTCTTTATTTCTTTTAAAAGATTAAATAATAATAATAAATAATTTTTAATTATTCTAACAATATATTTTTATTAATATATTGTTACTTTAATAAAAGATGCACCTTTTCTTGTTCTATTTTCCTATATATAATTTAATTCTTTTAATTTCAGCTAACTCATTTCAAATTTTACAATTTATTTTTTCTTATTAACATTTTTGCTAAATATTATTATAATTTTTATTAAAATAAATTAATAATTTATTTATTAATTTTCTTATTTTATGTATGATATTTCAAATCTCATGTTCTTGTTAAAAATATTGTTTTTAATCTGTTAAATTAACCTATTCTTATTTTTTGTTTAATTAGTATAAAAAATATCTCTTAAATTGTCAGTTGATAGGAAGGAATACATAAAGAATTTTAATTAAATATTTAGGATTCAAAATTTGTTAGTTTTAATTAATTTTTATTTTCTAAGGAAATAATTTATTGATCTATTTATTCTTATTGATTTAAGAATTAGGATTGCAACATGCCTCAAATTCTTATGATTTTTAATCTTATATAAGTCTATTGGATTTTATGAATAGAACTCATAAAAGTGAGTATTAAATTCTAATATTTTTTTTGCTTTGATACTTTGAGAAATAAATCAGAACTAAATTAATTTTTATTTTTTTTATTTTAGATTAATTGCTAAAATAAATAGGGAGATTATATTTATTTTGTTACAAATTGTTATTTTATCTAAGATTTTTTTAGAATTATAAAAAGAGATTATTTCTAATATATATATTAGAAAAAGTAAATAACTTAAATGCATTTTATTCACTAATAAATTCTAGTTTAATTAATAAAATTAATATGATTTCTAATTCAATTTTGTTAAACCTGAAAGTAAGAATTTACAATTTTATAGAGAACTATGAAAATGAAAAACATATTTATGTTTATTTCAAATGCTTTCAATGGAAAAATTAATAGATTTATGAGAAAGTGCTGTATGCAAATCACATAAATAGTAAGAATTTTATAAAAATAATAAAAATTTTGTTCTTTCTTTATTGCTTATATATTAATAAACCTCATTTTTACTGATCATTTGGAAAATCTATTAATTCTACTTTAGGATTTGTATCTTTTTATTAATCTTATTGATCTTAGATGACTTCAGGTATTTCTTGGACCTAATTTTATACATAATATTATTAAGGAATATTATTATGATTTACTACTTAGTATTCATAAGATGATGGAACAGGTATTTATTACTAAACTTAGAAATGATCATTTTATTTATGTTCTTACATTAAATAAAGATTTTAATTAGGGATTTAATTTTAATAAGGAATTTAATGTTAATAAGGGATTTAATTCTAAAAAGGGCTTAAATTTTAATTAGGAGTTTGTTAGGGGGGTTAATCTTAATAATGTATTTAATTATCTTACTATTTCTTTAATCTTTATTCTTTTTTATATTATTTAAAACATTAAAAGGTCGACATAGCAAAGTCAATTATTATCATAAGACAAATATTAATGAGGAGAGAATAAGAATCAGATAAAATAAAACCACTCAAAGTAATCTGTATTTAATTCATCCTCTCTTATGCACTAATTGGAAAACATTATTATTAATGTTATTTTTCGAAGTTTAAGACTAAATCATAGATTAAAGCATAGTTAACAATAACAGTTACACCTAATAAATAAATTAGTATTTCTTTAATGATTAATTATGCCTTTGCATAGCATTTAGGACAACAATCATAAAAACAACGATTCAGTTCATTTAAAACTAAAACAGTTATATATATAAATAAAACAGCTGCAAATGTTTATTAACATGTAATTAAAGTCTTCTAAATTTCAATCCTTGAATTGAGATTTTTAATATATTGAAAACTATTATATATAGTAAATTTTACCTATCAATTCTACAGTCTTATCTAAAGTATATCTATTTTTAAGCAAGCAATTAATATTCAATATCACTACTAATATTATACAATGGTCTTTCAGATTGAACTAGGGCTGTAACATTGTTAAAATTAAAAAATGCTTCTTCATTCGTTGTTGAAATTTAATGATAAGTATCATCTAATTAACAATATGATGGTCTTAGTGATAACAATTTATAATCCTCATATAGTTTAGGATTTAAACTCAAATCATTTTGATTAAGACATACACCCTCTCCTTTAACAACAGTCATATTTATAATTGGAGTAGTTTCTTTTTACAGACTTATGTAAACATTAAATCCATTATCATAAATTAAACTATAATTATGTTGTCTCACATCATAATCTGTTAGTTGATATTAAGTAATAATTATATCTCTAATTGGACAAGATTCTTCTTCTAGGACACATTAAAAATTTTCAGGCTGTTATGTTTTACATATTTTGTAACCATTAGCTCTACAATCTTCCTCTGTTGTTATTTTATTTTATAATAAGTCATAAAATTTTAGTTGAGATCTTAATCCACATATTTAAACTGTTTAAAAAGAGTTCTAAGAAGGTTAAACCCATTAAAACAAATCTATTGGTCCTTTTGGTTATTAATTAAAACATCCACTATTTAGTCGCCATTCATCACATCCATACCTAAAGATTTATTAATCATTTAAACAGATACACCCATGATCTGTTTATGGTATTTAATAATTACTAAGTGTTTCATATTTATCTGGACACTATTATTCTAATATTTAAATATCAATTAGAGCACCAATTTACCAATTTTAAAATATATTTGTTAATTCTTCAGTAGAGAGATTAGCATTAAGTGATATCTTATTGGTTAATACTAGTGCCACTATTGATAAAATTAAGATAAGAATTGAATTCAAGAATCTAAATGTTCTTTTCTTTCTCCCATATATGTTTTCTAAATAGCTGCTATAGCAACTAAGAATGCAACAAACGCATGCCCAAAAACCTGATCTTTTGGTATCTGGGAAACAACACTCGCATATACAACAAAGAACTTCCATGAAGCTGTTTTTTCTTAATAAATTTTATTTATTGAATTGTATCTTGAATATGAATGAGAATTTATAAGTTAATTTCTAATATGCATGTTTTTCAAAATGATTAATTATAACATAACTACCCAAAATTTTAATTATAAATATATATAAAAAATAAAATAAAATATACTTAGATGACTTTAAGTTCGAAAATACACGAACTTTTATTATTAAGTTAAAATGATAAAAAATATTCATTAAACTCATATAATTCTTTAAATTTACATAATTATTTAATCAAAAACATAAATACTCTTAGTATTCCCTTTTAAATATTTGTAATAGCAGAAATTGACCCAAATAGTATATAAATTATAAATCGATACTATTAAAAAGAAAAAGAATTAAAATTTTTCGATACTAAGTAAATTATAGTAAAATGCTAGCACTCATTCATTACTATGATCAATTTATATTATCCCATACATCTATAGCTTGATTGCTCTGAATATTTCATATTTAAATATATAAAGAAAATTTAAATTGTAAGAAATGTTTTAAGCAGTTTTTTTAAATACTTAGAAATACTCATAATAAGTAACTTCATATAATCGATAGAGAAATTGGAGGCTATCGTTAATACTTAATGTTATATTTATTAATTATTGAATTTAAGAAGTTTATTTTATATTTAATTAATCAATTATGTTGTTTTTTCATAAATTTACATTAAGAAGGAAAAAATTTGCTTCTAATTTTAATTCATAAATATCAAGAGATTAAATTCTCTGAGGAATTTAAGATAAGGAATAGCTAAAAATAAGGTTGCAAATTAAATATCCAACCATATAATTATATTAATGCATAAGAGATCGATGAGATTAATATATTAATAAATGAAAAACCAATCACACATTTATAATTATTTTTTTAATATTTTAAATATATAATTCATCTTCATTATAATTAATAATATTATTCAAAACTTATCGAATTGTAGTTTATCAAAGTCGATTAAAAATATTAAATTAATGAGTTAATTATTTAGGAAAAAAAGCAATATTCCATTTAATGTATAAAAAAGTTATTCCTTTAAATAATCTAAAGATCAAATTACTTATAAAATTTAAAGAGTTATCAAAATGTTATTATGCCCCGAAAATTCTTTTGTTTTAGTTTTTAGATATATTCTAGCATAATTTCTGAGAATATTGTTACTTTTTATTTTCTTTAAAATATCTATTAAGTTTTGATATTAAAGTTGAAATGAATAAATAAAACTCTTAATAATTGGTGTTAATAAAAAATATAATTAATATTTAGAATTTATAAAATATTATATATTTTATTATTTGATTCTAAATATTATGCATGTGCTGTCCAATTATAAAATAATAGATAAATTTATAAGATTAAAGTTTTAATTAATTATATATTGAGAAAAGAGTATCATTATTATAATATTAAGAAATTTAGTTTTATTTTTAATATTAATCATTTACAATTTTGTTAAACCTATAAAAATTTTAAATGGATTTATCTAATTCATCGTGTTATCTTAAAAAATTAAGAAAGTTTTCAATAATGAGCTTCTTCTATTTTATAAAATTATATTCAAATTTTAAGATTTAACTAATTTTCTTAAAATAATCTGGTTTACTTTGATACTTTGATGATCTATATATTTATAAAAATTATTATTGATAATTACACTAAAACTTCGAAAAATTCAATTATTAAATCAAAACATATTTCTGCCCGTTTCTAACTTTATGAGTTGCTATTGATGTATAATTTTGATTCCTGCGAATAATTAACCTTCTTTGTGTGGATTGTATTCTTTTAACATACAACTTTATAAACTTTAAAATGCTATCTTCACTTGTATTTTAGTTAATCCTAAAATAAACTAATGTTTTTTATAAATCAATCATATAATAAAAAAGTTGATTAATGTGAGAAAATTAAATTTAAGACATTGATAGATTTAAAGATCATATAATTGAAAAGCATAAATGTTTCAGAATATATATATATATATTAATATGATTTTAATGTCAGGATTCGCTTTGTTCAATAGTTTCTTCTTCTTCATTTTTTTAATCCTCTATTTATAAAGCTCTTTCAAATGGAAAGAAAGTAGTTTCCTTCCCCTCTATGCATTTTTTCACATATTTCTCTAAAGCATTACAATCATTTGGATCTTTATTCTTTATATAAATGATATAATAGAGCATATGGTAGACACTATGTTCTAAATATATATGATAATGCCATCCTTTTGTTCCACTAAATATAAAGAATTCTATATTACTTTGTATCAATATCATTTTTATCAAGACTACAAACGAAACATTTTCCTTCAATTTCTTTCACTAAGGCTTATCTTTCATCTCTTAATTCACCAAAAGTATCTAAAATAATACCAAAGATTATTTAGATAAACAAAATATTAAAGATAATGAAAAACGAGAAGTCAAAAAAGTATCTTCCCCAATATAAAGTTGGATCTTCATAAGGTTCAGGATATATTTTCATTGAATCTCCTAAACCACTACGAAGACCAAAATTAATTGTAGATGTAACAGCTAATATAAATGTTTAACCATAAACACCATCTTCATCATTAAACATCCAATCAAAATTTGAAAATGCAATGATAGCATAAATTAATAATCCAATAAAGCCAAGAAAAGAGAAAATAGCTAAATTACGGCCATTAGATGTAATTGATTTTATGATGTTTTAAAGATCTTCAGATCTCTTAATGATATCTAACAATAATACTGCATAGATATATGGATTAAAAAATGCATATACTGTTAATCCGAAAATGCAAACCTAAATTAAAAATCATTTTTACATTATAAAAATTATCAAAATCAAAAAATGTAACGAGAATAAGCTTTTTTAATATACTTTCACTAACTTTCTATCCTTAAAATTCTGATTCAAAATATCCAATAATAGTATAATATTTCATTGTTAAAAATGTTATTGAAAATCCTGCTTCTTTTTTTAATATTTAAACTCTTTTTGCATTAGTTTCGCCTCTATTATATGTAATTGATATTGGATATCTTTCTATTGCACAAAAAAATACTATAATTAAATTCAAAACTAATTAGATTATTGTTATTATCTAAATTAATAAATATATATATTACATTATTCAGATAACTTACAAAATTTTATCCTGGTATTTTTGTATCAGATTCAGGTGCTTCTTGATTAGAACCTAATTTACTATTGACAACTATATCATGCATAAATATCAATAGAATTACTATAACCAAACATAAAATAAAAGATAAATCTTTTAATAATCTCCAATAGACTGCTCCAAAATGCATAATAAAACTATTGTTAATCTATTAAGAATGTCTCATTTAAACTTAATAAAAATCAGCTTAATCTATTAATCCTTACATTCTATCTTCATCAGTTTCTCTATTGATTTCATAAATTAAATGTTATTTAATGTTAGGAGTGACAAAATTACATACAAAAGGTTTTTAAAAGAAAATCTTTTCAAGTTCAGATAATTCATTTTAAATTTCTATCCTACCTGTGAATTATCTATAAAATTTAAAAAATTATTATTTTCTAGTAAATTTATAATTTTCATCATTTTAAATATCATCAATCATTTATTTAAACTCATTTTAATTTGTTTATCTTAATTCATTACTTAATAGAGCATTTTATTCTTCTTAATCAAGATTTTTATTGTTTATAAAAATAGGTACAATTTTTTTAGTAGGTAGTGTATTTTTTTTTTATAAATCTTCTTATAAAGGATCACTTAAATCAACAAAATCATCTTAATCTTCCTCCTATTCATCAAATATAAATATTTCTAATTATGGATCTTTTGGAAAATGTTCAGATAATTTTAGGCATATAATAAAAATATTAAAACCTGTTTAAATAAGTAAATTGTCTTCATCAGTTCTTAATCCAAAATGACATAAATTATTAGAACAATATTTATGCTGACTAGTTTTTGATTCATCACAAATATTATCTAATATAATATTTCTCTATTTAGGTTTAATACGATCTTGATATATTGATCTTGAGATTCTCATTAATATTGTAATATTAACAGTTTCTAATATAAATTTTAAACATTTCTTATCTAATTTGCCTTATGTAATCAACAATAATAGTTTAATAAATGATTGAAGTGTCTAATATGAATTATATTTTCTCTATTAAACATCTGCTTAATTTTTATTTAAATTTATAATAAGATCTTCTTCTTAATTTTATGATTTTAATAAATTATCCTTTATTATATTTCTATTCTCTTAATGTAATTATTTAAATGATAACAAATCTTCTTTCTGTAAAATCTAATTCAATAATGTAAATAATCGTGTATTTTTACATAATTCTTTTTTATTTTCTTCAAAACCTGTTGAAAATTCAACTAAACTCTCTAATGCTTATCTATAGATTTCCTATAACTTATAAAATACTCTTTATCCTTTTTCCAATAAATCTGCTAATAAACTAGCAACTTCATTTACAATATTAATATTAGCTTGATATGAATCATCATCATATTAACGAACTAAAAATTTCTAAAAATCAACATTGACATTTTCACACATTGCCTATAATAGTTTTAATACTTTCAAACAAAGTATTTTATATTCAGTATTATTGCCTTCACATAATTCTAATTCTAATATTCTAGAATTAACATCAATTAAAAAGAATCCTCTAAGGAAAACAAAGAATTTTTATTTAATTACTTAATCTTATTTAAGTATTTGATAGAACTTTTTCTATACATAATCATTTCCATAATCCAATAAATAAATTAGTAATTACAAAGCTTCTATTTTATGTAAATCATCAGCAGAATCATTTAACATCTCTAAAGCCAATATGTCCAAATTACTATCTACTATTGCATTTTGATATTTAATAAATATCTATTATTTTTATCTTATTAATTCTTTTGACTTTTCATCCTTAGCTTCTGTAAGTGAATCAATATCATCTTATGTTGG